AGCAGTTGCTGCTCCTGTAATCCCTACCATCGAAGTTGTTCAAGCTGAGGTTGTAGATGCCATCTCGAGGGATGATGCCCATACCATCGCTGATGATGATGATGATGATGTTGATGAAGATGAAGATGATGATAAAAACGATGATGAACCTGTCATTCCAAACACCGAAGATGATCTAGATGGTGACGACAACGACGATGATGAAGATGACTTTACTATCAAGTTCCAGAAGCCATCAACCGTCACCAAAGGTGTTGCTCTCGAGGATTCTGCATCCCAGGGTGAGCAAAAGTAAGGTGAATCGACTCCATCAGGGAACCAGGATCCCAAGTCGAAAGGCAAGGCGGTCGCTGAAGAAGGTAGTGATTACTTCAGAATATCAACTTCATATTCCATCAACAACCTGCGGTCGACTGGAGCGGGTATCTGATCAACCCGTCTCTTGTGCTCCAACAGACCAGCAGATGTCTCAGCTGAAGGAGTCACTCGACCAGACTAGAGTAAAAATTCCTCTTCGTACCTCTAGTGGTAGTGAGTTTGACTTCTTATCTGAAGCTAAAAGACTCGAGGCATTAAGGGCTGAAGAAGAGCTAGAGCTTCAAAAGAAACAGACTGAAGACAGCTTAAAGCTGGCCAAGTCACTAGCTGCAAAAGTCCTTCCCAAGAAAAAGTCCAAGAAAACGGTGAATGTTGTCCAAGCCCAAGCTAGACTTCTTTCGATTGCAGAAGCTGAATGCAAGAAGAAGCTGAAGCTGGAATATAAGGACAAGCAATGGAGCGAAGCAAAACTAAAAAAGAGACTCAGTCCCCGCCCAATTATCAGCATCAGCATCAGCATCAACGGACATTCTAAAGACGATGGAATGCTGGTCTCAATGCTCATCACCAGGGACAATCTTGATGTCGAGTACCCTTCCTATCTTGGCCGCTATGGATACAGCGAATGGATGGAGATCRGACAAGCCATTCAGCAATCCAAGTCGAGACACAAGACACTTATCGAGGACACCATCAACGAGCTCATCAAAAGGATGTCCAGGTATGTCAAGGTCCCTGACGGGCCAACTCTGAAGAAAGGTGGGAAGAAGAATCAAAAACTCTATGATCCTAATGAAGGACCATCCCTAAGGAACAAACATGAAACAAGGTTCTCTTTAGATGAAATCCTGAAGGTTCATAAGAGTACAGACATTTCTATGCTGAATCTTGACTTGCCAGATAAGGGTCCCTATACACCCAACTCAGTGCAATTTAAACCTGAGTTAGGGGTTATATTCCTTGACTATGACGGTGAAGTCAGATTTCAGAGAATGTCTACATCTATGTCCAATGGATAACTAGGTTTATCTTTTGCTCTGGATAGATGATAGCATGCCTGGAAAAGTCGTMGATCTGAAGATACGAAGGGAATTYCTACGTCGAAGAAACCTTGGTGAAAATGTACCTGATTACATAGATCCAAGTGTTCTAGAATAAGATTCTCTTTGTAACAACAATCCACTTTTCCTTGTAAATTCTTGTACTATGTCTTCTTTCATTGATTGTACTTATATTCTGTAAGTTCTGGACATGTACTGTAATACTTGTATTATTTCCTACGATTAATAAAATGAKTATTCCATGTACTTCACTGAAAAAGATCCCTGAAAAAAGTAATAGGGACACAAGTCTATGAGTTCCAATGTTACTTTTCGCATTCACTGAGAATCTATGTCAGTGAATAAGCTTTTAGTTTCAATTTCCGTACTTATAATTTTCTTACATATAACTTAAGAAAAATTATCAAGCTGA